AAAAATATTGTTATTGCTGATGCTAAAAATTGTAGTCTTGATTTTAAAATAAAAACCTTGCTAAAATCCACATATACTAAATTCTAACCCTAAATCCTAATCTAGTTCTAAAAAAAAATGATAAAAAACACCAAAATTTTTAAAATTTAATATCAAAATAAATCCAAATTTTAGCATCAGTCGTAACAATAGATTATGCGATTTTTATAGTTATATTACCTTCGGAATCATTGCCTCAACCTTGCTCGTCTTTAAAGTTCATTTATTTATACATCGAAACTTTTCGAAATTTCTCTCCCACACTAACTATCGCATCTCAAAAAATATATCTATCATCATATTTGTGCCACATGACCTGAATGCGATGCTAAAAAATGGTCAATTATGCACATAGTAAGTTTATTTAGTGATCTTGTTTCCTTATCGTTATAGTGCAACAGAAGAACCGATATAGTTAGCATGGGAACAAACATTTGCTTAATAAGTTCATAGGATTCTTATCGTTATCGTTACGGATTAATTGCACAAAAAATAAATCGATAACAATAATCCGTCCATATGATTGATTTTTTGTTGAATTTGTAATTATAACCGTAATTATTAACGTGTTTTGAGAGTATCGGTATATGGAAAATATGTAATGTATAATTAATAAAATATGTATAGTAGAAATTAAGATAGAATATATAGCTCATAAAAGAAATTCTTTAAAAGGATTTTACCGGTACCTATAACCTATACTGACCCTAACATATAAAAATAAATATAAGTTTTGTTAATCATACTTTCGTAAATTTTTTTTAGCTTCCATCTATACAAACAGCTGTATACTTACATACAACTTTATACAATACATATTTCTGTAATACCTAGGTTTCGATATTAATTCATGATAGATCGTAGAAATTCATAAATCTTTTGTCGAGATGTACGATGATATTTGATGCTAAGATTCGATTAGAACAAGATTTAATGCATGATGTAATTGTCAGCACTTCAAAGCTGGATCAATTTCATAGTTCAAACCATTTTAGGACTATATATTATAAATTATTTTGGGAAATGGTCAAATTAAAAAACGGAAATATCGATACATCAAATTTAATTTGCATGCGCCGGTGATACTTGCATAGACGGGCACGAGTGAGTACGTACGTATGTACGTGCATATCAGATATCAGATATACGTACGTACGTCCGTAGCTTATCTGTTATATTACATATTGATATGGAGCTAGCAAGAAATCTAGAAATCACAATCTCCCCCTAAACATATGTACGTACGTACAAACAAGTAGCACATTGAAATCAAATCTTTCCTAAATTATTAAGTGTATACGTAAATACTTTATTGGAGTCGATAATTTAAGAAATATTTGGTTTCAACGTAGCGGTAGTGTTTGATTAAACATTACATATAAGGAAGTTGTAGTTCTTTCCTGTAATGTACGTACGTTGCCAAAAATGTCTACAATTATCTTCTTGCCTTTTTTTTTTTTTTTAATAGAAATTCTCAACAATTTAAAATCTATAGATATAGTGAGGGTACAAAATAAATTGTTTTCATTTAACATTGGAATATTGGAAAGCTTTTATTAGATCCGTAATTTAATTAGAGTTATGTAAATTTTAATTTAAGGTTCCTCGACGTGTCGTACGTACGTACGTACGAAAGTACGAACATGACGACAGCTAATCGTTCCAAAAATTTGTGGATCTACGTTACACAATTAATACTATCAAAAATTCGAGATCTTCCACACTTTACTATATAATAAACTCTCTCTCTTTAAAATTCTGCAAAAACTTCAAAAAAAAACAAACCCATAATGTCGATAGTATCATATCTATTTCAATCAATATTTCATCCTTCCGAAATTACAGCTCTTGTCCAATTTAAATTTTTCAAGCCCAAACCCATACTAGAAATTAAACCCGAAAACAAGCAAAAGATACGTTGTTATGAGTTTCTGGATAAAACTTCTCGTTCGTTTGCTGCTGTAATTAAAGAGCTGGATGATGATGTGAGAGATGCTGTAAGCATTCCTTATTTCCTATCCTTTTAAATCTGGATTGGATTCTTATCATTTAATTTAATTTAATTTTAATCTAATTTAATTTAATTTAATCTAATTTAATTTAGATTTGTATTTTTTATCTCGTCCTTCGTGGTCTTGATACCATCGAAGACGACATGACAATTCCTATTGAAAAGAAAGAGCTTCTATTAAGGTCTTTTCATGAAACTATTTTTCAAAAAGGATGGACCTTCACGGAAAGTTAGTTTCGATTATTTTCATTTTTGAAATTAAATATTCCCTTACTTGCTTATTGATTGTTTTTTTTTCTTCCTTTTTTTTATGTTACAGGTGGTCCCCTTGAAAAAGATCGTCAATTACTCGTAGAATTTAATGTTGTGATTGATGAATTTTTATCTATGAGAAAGGAGTATGTAAATTTTTTCTTTTTTTATTTCGGTGTTACGTAAAATCATATGATAATATTTTCATTCGTGTAACTAGGTTTCGTGATATTATCGCTGATATAGCTAATAAAATGGGAAGTGGTATGGCTGACTATGCAAAAGATGCTGTGCATAACACATATGGGGTTAAGACCCTTAAAGATTTTGATGAGTATTGTTATTATGTTGCTGGCTTAGTTGGTGTTGGCCTTACCCGTTTATTTGCTGAAAGTGGTCTGGAAAGTTCTGAACTCGTAAAAGATACTGATTTGTGAGTGTTTTACTTATATTTTTTTTTTTTTACATTCATTTATTTATTAATAATTCAAATTTTAAACATTTTATGGTTTATGGTTTTTAGGTCAATTCATATGGGTTTGTTTTTACAAAAAACGAACATAATTCGTGATTATTTGGAAGATCTTCTTGATGGACGTAAATTTTGGCCACAAGTTATTTGGTCAAATTATGTTAAAGATTTTTCTGATCTTAAAGAACCTGGTTATAAAACTCAGGCTCTTGATTGTCTTTCATCCATCATTCTCAACACACTTCATCATGCCCCTGAATGCTTAACTTATATGAATAAGCTTCAAAATAAATCTATTTTCAGTTTTTGCGCCATCCCACAAGTAATGGCAATTGCAACTTTGGCATTAATGTTTAGAAATTATGATACATTTCAAAAAGTTGTTAAAATTAGAAGGGGAGAATCTGTTAAGGTAACTTACTGAAAAAAAAAAACTTTTTAATAAAACAGTTGAACATTAACATTACTTTTTTTTTTTTGATCATAGTTAATGTTAAAATGCACAAATATTCATGAGGTTGCAAGTATCTTTCAAGAGTATACTAGAGTAATCATCCGCAAAAATGATCCTAGAGACCCTAATTTTATGAAGATTAGTGTTGCTTGCGGGAAGGTAATAAACATCTTTACTCTTTAATAAATGCTTTAAAAAAAAAATGTTTCTGAATCTTAAATTATCAATTTTAATTATCAAAAGATTGAACGATGGTGTGCTACCAATCTTCCAGCTACGAAAGTTTATAAATTACCATATTCTAAAAATGATTGGTTGTTCAATCCGGAAAATGACTTATTATTATTTATTGGGTTTAGTTTATTGGCATTCACAGCTTATCTATTATGTTTTTATAATTGGGAACATTTTCGTTATGATGGATTCGAAATCTTAAAGGATCAAATTTAGGATTAAATTTAGTATAAGGGACACCTACTATATATCAATTGATTAATAATTTTATTAATGATGCCCCTTATATTAAATTTGAATCTTTTTTGATGCTTAATATTTTAAATATCAGTACATGATTTTTTAACATTAGTTATCACATGATTTCATTGTAATTTAACGTTAAGGTATCTGGTGTTATATATAAGACTATGAATCTAATATATTATAGTTATTACATGGGTATGTATTGGGTTATTCACATACCCATACAATAACTATATGATTTCACGGTGTCTGACGTACAATCCCGTGCAATAACCAAATGAAAAAAGCACGGGTTGTTACATAACCCGTGCAATAATGTATTTATATTGCCATGCTCATTTATATATTTTTTTTTAAAAAAAAATATGATTAAAAATTATGTTTGTCTGATAATGTTTTATTTTGTTTATTTGGATTTCCAAGTTCCACTTTTTCCTCCCGTTTTTTCTAAAAGTTTTATATTCTCAATTACCATATCTTTACTTACAGATTTACACATATCAAACACTGTTAATGCTGCAATACTAACTGCAGTTAATGCTTCCATTTCTACTCCAGTCCTACCCTCACATTCTACTTTTGCCATAATTTCAATTGAATGATCTTGTTCTAACTTCAAATCAACTGATACATGTGAAAGCAATAAGCTATGACATAAAGGGATCAGATATCCTGTTTGTTTTGCGGCATTAATTCCTGCTATCTGTGAAACTGTAAATACGTCGCCTTTTTTCATAAGATTTGCTTGTATCAAATCAAATGCTTCGCGACCAATACGTATTTTTCCACTCGCTGTCGCGGTACGGATGGTTGGGGTCTTAATAGATACGTTTACCATCGAAGCACGTCCACTTGAAGGATCGACATGAGAGAGCGTAGGGGTGTCGGAAATTGTTGTATTTTGTGACATGTGTGAACATTCGGATTTTTTGTTTTTTGACGAGAAAGCACGGGATTGAAAGAAATATGAAGGGATCCCATAATTGAAGGGAATAAAAGTTTTGTCGATTTTGGAAAGACAATGTGGGTTGTATGTTGTGGGTTGAATGAACGAATTTATGGAATGCTTCCTTTTATACCAATATATCTTTGCAGAAACCAACTGTTCGATACGGTCTGTGTAATTGATTGAATAACAAAAATGTGGTAAGCATCTACTTATTCAATTAATTAACTATTCATTCTGCATATATAATTTTTAATATTGTGGGCTTCTGGATTATGATTAGCATTAATCAAACATGCTATTTTTATCTTTTTTACAAACTTCCATATTTGATATTAAAATGTTCCGGAATCTAATATGCTACATATAAATACATGACATCACTAACCTGCATCCAGTCAATTACATGATTTTTCATCCACCAATAAGTATCATCGGTCTATTTTTTGTCTCAGCCAGGGTGAACATACCTGCGTGCTGTTTCTTTTTATTTTTTACAGCTACACCGATAATTTCTAGTAGTTGTTGATCCGGTACATTCTCTCGTAATAAGTCACGCAAACTTACTTCAGCATTTCCAAATAGACACACCTATAAAAGATAACGTCATTTAGTGATTTTAATTTTAAATATAAAATAAAATAAAATAAAATAAATCAAACCTTCAAGTTGCCATCAGCAGTAATTCTTAATCTGTTACAAGTACCGCAGAAATGGTCCGTCATTGACGTAATGAACCCGAATTGACCAACATGCCCTGGTACTTGATATGCCTGTTATTGTTAAATAGTTAAAGAAATGTTTATTCTTCTAATTATGTAATTATGATAACTAACCTTTGAGGTATCATGCGCGTCATCGGGCAGTTTCATAACATCGTATTTGTTTTGAATATTATCCAAAATTTCACTATATGGAACAAGTTTATGCTTATTCCATTTGTTACCTTATTATTATCGGAAAGAAATGTCAAAAATTTTTTCAATATACAAACTCTTTATAAATTGAACAATCGATACATACCATCAAATGGCATATACTCAATGAACCTTACATCTACAGGCTTCGTACGAGTCATCTCAATAAAATCAATTACTTCCTGATCATTTACCCCTCGTACAACCACACAATTAATTTTAAGTGGACGAAGGCCAAGTGCAATAGCTTGATCAATTGACTCCATTACACGCTCAAGTCCTATATTCATTTAATAATATATGTTCATTTAATAGTGACAAATACAATCTTTGTATATAGGTTATAAGACATAACATGCTAAATAAACACATTAAATCTAATCACGTGTATAATATAACATGTTAAATTTAAACACATTAAATCTAAACACATTAACGGATAAATAAATACCTTTTCGACGAGTAATCAGTTCAAACTTCAATGGATCTAGTGTATCTACACTAATATTCAATAAATTCATCCCATTTTTGACCAGTTCAGGCAGCTTTCGCTTTAATGCTATGCCGTTAGAAGTCATGGCTAACGTCTTCAAACCATACTGCTTTAACTTTCCCAATTCACCTGTAAAGAAAGAAATAATTAGTGACTTTATATTAAACGAAATGAAAAAAAAAGAGAATACACTGAAATTACCAACTAAATCAACCAAATCCTTTCTTACGGTTGGTTCCCCGCCGGTCAACCTAATTTTATTAACTCCTTGAGAAACAAATAA